TGACAGTGTTATATTATTTTCATGACAGTTAAGCAGAAATTCTCTCTTTTTTTAATGAGCATAAATTAAATTCTGTAAACAAATATGTCCATATGATGCATACTTACAATTGTATTTTACAATTATATATATATATATATATATATATATATATATATATATACACATTTTACAATAATAGAGTAGGCAACTAAGAATTGGAGGATGGACTAAATCTGCTTAATTGTAATAAAAATAATGTCAAAATGCAAAAAAAAAAAAAAAGTCTTAATGTCCTTAAAATAAGCTTCATTTTCCTTATGCAAAATATAATACTTTTTTTTTTTCATTCAAGTAGCGTTGATCGTTTGAATGAGATTCACCTGTTGAAGTGTTTTTGAAAAGAAATGTGTAATAATTCCATGCTAGTGTATAATTTCATGCACTGCGAGTAGTGTTTTTATTGGTTGTCATGGTAACCGTGAGCAGTGGGATGAAGTGAGGACCCTTGAGATCCGTAAGTGAGCGGATGTATCCATGGATGGGGCTTATCAGCAGAGAACATCCAGGATGGCGTATCCGTGAGCGCACTGATCCCGGCGCTCCTGTATGGGGTGAGCGTGAGCGGGAAACAGGGGCTCCTTGCGCAAACACATCCATTCTAGAATCTCTCTGCAAACAGACCATAATTCACCTGCAGAATCTCCCAGGGAAACCAACAAGAGATGGGTGGAGAAATAGAGATTAAATTGATACAAAGGATCATAATCTTACAATAATCAGATTGATTAGAATTATTTATTTTAGCTTTAATTGACAAGTCACTTTAAAAACAGGAATTTTGCAAACAAAATGAATAAAACATAATTGTATTGCATACTATTTAATTGTATAGCACATATATAAATAATTATATATAATACAAATAAATAATGTATATTATAAATAAACTAAAACATTTAAAACCAACACCAAATAAAAAAATATAGAAACAACTGAATAGATTATATGTATAAATTATATATAAAACATTGTTTTCACAAACATATTTCATTACATAAGCGCACATCAGCTTTAGATTTGACTATTTTTTTATTCTAGTCTTTTAGAAAATATTTTGATAACACATTTATACATACATAGTAGTCAATAATCTTTCAGCAACTGAAACGTGTGACTGTTGGTGGCCAATAAGACATTCTTTTCTCTCTAAATGTTTGTTCAGGTTTTTACAGTGTATGTTAAAGTTGTCTGTAGTAACGATGGAACAGCACAGCAAGGGAGTAGTAAAGCCATCTTATATAGGGTGACCATTCTTAAAACTCACCATGGCAACAACAATAACAGATGTGTCACATTACATCTGAATCTTTACAAAACAAGTCTGTTTGTGAGAGTCTTCAAGATTCTTGTCTGAACACACACACACACACAGGTTTGTTTTTATGGTTTATGGGGACTCTTCATAGGCGTAATGGTTTTTATACTGTACAAACCGTATTTTCTATTGCCCTACACCAACCCTACCCCTAAACCTACCCCTCACAGGAAACTTTGTGCATTTTTAGATTTTCAAAAAAACTCATTCTGAATTATTTATAAGCCTTTTGAATTATGGGGACACTGAAAATGTCCTCATAAATCACCTTCTCGTTGTAATACCTATGTCATACCCATGTTATTATACAAATTTGTGTCCTCATAAACCACATAAACATGCATGCGCACACACACACACACACACGCACACAGGTATTTAGGTTCCTAAAGTGATAGATCATTTTAAAGATTTTAGTTGTAAATGTTTCTCCAAAGATCATTTAGGATCTTCAGGATTGTTTATGTTCTGCATTTTTGCATTAATCAATCTTGGATTTTCTCTGTTATGTCTTGGAAATAAAGCAAAGAAAGCTTCCAAAGTTAAATATGAATGAAAGAAATGTGATCATCAACACAGAACAAGGTCAATGCAGTAGGAACAATGACAGGTGCACCACTTTTCTGTTTAATTCTCACAACTGAAAGAGATTGTTGAATTGTGTTTGGAAACCCTTCCACTTAGTGGCTATGTGGGGAAATTACAACTGCACCTGCAAATAGGGCGACTTTGAACGAAAGTGTGCCGTTAGTGGAGTTTGATGGTTACAAAATAGAAAAGGCCTTTGTATACTATATTCTGTAACACTGATCTTAACCTGTACATCAAAAACACTTTCAAATATGAAAACAAGAAACTTGTAAAAACTGACACTTCTAAAGTTTAGTATTATGCTTTGTTACGATCCAAAATAAAAATATTAAAAAAATTATATAAAACCTTCGAATATGTTGTTACCTTGATACACAGCAGCAACATTCATATAGTTTTACAGATTGTTATAATAAAACCTTTCCAGTAAATAGAAATTATTTGTGTCCTTATTTCTAAAGTAGTTGTCTTTTTGTGTGGTGGTTGCTAAAATCAAACACTAAGAAATATTTTCAGTTTAGTGTCCATCCCAATAACATTTAAGCTAAATGACCTCCTTACAGAGGACACGCTCAGTCATGGAAGTTTGAGGTGGAGCTAATGACAGTTTAATGCTCTTGGCAGACCTGTTTTTGGCTAATTTCATTATCTGCAGAACAGACCTCTGTCACAATTTAAAAATGTTTCTGAGTTGGACATCAAAGCATAGTCAGGATAAAAACAAAGAACAAATTCACTGAAATAATTATCAAAAAGATTAATAGTGAAATATATTGTTCAGTTATTGTTTCCCACACATAATTTCTGTTACTGTGTGTGTTTGTGTTACGTACTGCTCAGAGACACAAGGTTGAGGATCCAAATGGGACAATCCAGAATCACAATCTATAAACAGCCAAACACGCAGACAAACAATCCAAATTAGCAACAGGGCAGAAAACACATGCAAAGTCCAAAAAAAAAAAAAAAAAGACAGCTAACCGGTGTGACAGCGTGAACAGGGTTTATATAAGCAGAGACTGATGAGGTAATGAAGCACAGCTGAATGCAATCAGGCCTAATAAAGGTTCTGTGAAATGCAGTTCTTGAATGATGACAATGGCCTAAAGAGGAGTGCCCTCTGGTGGAAATCAAGGCCACTCCAGCTGCCAGGTGCGACAGTTGCATTGAACCCCTGCAGTATCAAGAACACAAGGAGGGAGTAAGATGTTTGGAATAATTATTGACATCACTCGTTATGCTGTAGAAGCAGATTTAATTGAATTTTTCCTGTCTCGTTCACACAAACACATGCTACAATAGATTTTAGAATTTATGTTGAGTATGATTTCCCCAACAGTAGTTCATTTCACAAGCATCTCCAGAAGCCTTATTCACAATTAAAACTAAGTGACACAACAAAAGCAATGTGAGTCAGAACAATCAATAACTGTTGAATAACAAATTAAAATATTTAGACATTTAAACATTGTCTTCAAAAATAATTTTCACCATTTTCACACAGGTGAACAAGTTTCAATCTGGTTTCCGACAGCACCACAGCACAGACACAGCGCTCATAAAGATAAATTATATTGACTTAAATTCTAATTCTGGCAAAGTATCAGTGCTGGTACTACTAGATCTCAGTGCTGCGTTTGACACTGTCGATCATAACATACTTCTATAGAGACTGGAAAACTGTGTCGGGCTTTCTAGGATGGTCATCAAATGGTTCAGGTCATACTTAGAAGGGAGAGGTTATTATGTGAGTATAGGAGAGCATAAGTCTAAGTGGACGTCCATGACATGCGGAGTCCCACAAGGCTCAATTCTGGCACCGCTCTTGTTTAGCCTGTATATGCTCCCACTAAGTCAAATAAGAAGAAAGAACCAAATTGCCTATCACAGCTATTCAATTCTTGCACCGCTCTTGTTTAGCCTGTATATGCGCTCCCACTGAGTCAAATAATAAGAAAGAACCAAACAAGGAGAAACAAGGAGAAAACTGAAGTCATTGCATTTTGAAACAAAGATGAAGTTCTCAAGGTGAATGCATACCTTGACTCTAGGGGTCAAACAACTAAACCTCAGGTCCTTACACTGGCTTCCAGTTACATAAAGGATTGTTTTTAAAGCACTATTACTCGTTTATAAATCAGTCAATGGCCTAGGACCTAAATACATTGCAGATATGCTTATTAAATATAAGCCTAACAGACTACTCAGATCATTAGGATAGAGTCAGTTAGAAATACCAAGGGTTCACACAAAACAAGGGGAGTCTGCTTTTAGCTATTATGCTATTAAGCTGGAATCAGCTTCCAGAAGAGATCAGATGTGATAAAACATTAGCCACATTTAAATCTACTCAAAACTCACCTGTTTAGCTGTGCATTTACTGAAAGAGCACTGTGCCACGTCCGAACTGATTGCACTGTATTTTATATATAATCATCATTTATTTACCATTTACCGGATCATCAAGAACTTCAAGGAGAGAGGTTCAACTGCAGTGAAGAAGTCTTCAGGACGTCCCAGAGTGTCCAGCAAGCGCCAGGACCGTCTCCTCCTGAGGAGTCAGCTACAGAATCGTGTCAGCACCAGTGCAGAGCTTGCGCCGGAATGGCAGCAGGTTGGTGTGAGAGCATCTGCATGCACAGTGAGGCCAAGACTTTTGGACAACGGCCTGGTGTCAAGAAGGGCAGCAAAGAAGCCACTTCTCTCCACTTCTCTCCCTTCTATACCCCTGGTCTAGGCCTATGGTAACATCCTCAAAACAAAAAGTTTTTTTTAAATGATGAATATCACATTTATGCTTTTTAACCACTGTTTAAGGGTTGAGTCAAATTATTGTATATTTTAGATACTTTATTATCCGAATTATTTATGAATAATTATTATTTTATTATAATTAATTAATAAATTATAATAAAATAATTTAATAAATTATAATACATTAATTAATCAATATAATAAATGTATTATAATTATCCCAATTAGAGTCATATTTTATGTTACCTCTTATTTTAACTCTATTCCTTATTATTTATTCACCTCACATCAAGGAGGTTCCAGTTTGAGTCCTGCCTGAACCAGGAGGTCTTTCTGTGTGTTTTGAACAATTTGGATGTTCTCTCATCAGTGTTGTCGTATGTTTCTTCCAGGTTCTCCGGTCTCCCAAACTATCCAAAGACATGTATAGGTGAATTGGAGACACTGAATTGTCCATAGAATTTGTGTATGTCTGTATTTGTGAGCCTGACCATCATTCACGGTATTGCCCTGCCATCAGCCCGAGATGCTGGGAAAGCGACCCTACAAAGGACAAGCAGTTTGGAGAAGGGATGTTGTTTGTATAAGAATGGGAAGGTGAAAGTTATTTTTTTAACCTGGTTTGTTCCGATTAGCAGAAAATTGTGTAGTTAAGACAGCTGCCACTAGAGTTAATTGATAAATTAACATCAAATGGACAGTTTACAAAGTTTATTGAGATGCTCTATACAGTGCAAATAAACTCTGGTCTCTGATGGTTTATATCTGTGATGCCTTTAGTACCATGACTAGTGTTTGTTCTTCGTGTTGTTTATTTTTACATAACAGTTTATTTTGTTTTTATCATTTATTAAATAGCATTGTTTAATTTTTGCTTACTGTTTATTTGCACATTTTGTACCTCTAACATAATAGATGCATGCTTTATGTAAGGTTCTTGTCAATACACAACCACAATACAATTTCAGAACATCTGAAAACTGAAATAAAATGTCAACTCTGACTCATGCGCAAAATGTAACCAACTGGTTCAGTGTGTTCAAAAGGAAAGCGATTACATTGTTCTACAAATGCCATCAAACCAAAAGGGTCTGGCTGCAGCTGGCGCTTGCACTCTCAGACGTGCATTCTCAGGCTTGCACTCTCAGA